AATAATTGCTCTCGAGAGTAAATATCTTGGATCAATAAATCCTGAGCCGCTTCTTGCACCTATTGACGACCTCATTTTCGATTATAAAAAGACCAACCTGTAAGAATAAAAAAAACTCACCTCTTCAATCTAACTCTATAAATAACCTCTCCTACCACACTGAAACAAAGTAGGGAGTCTAGAATTCTTTTCTTAATATTTAAATATATTTCTCACCTTTACTATAATATATAATTCATTTATTTTTTAACGTTTCCACAACGTGCAGAATCATTTATTCTGATGTCATAGAATAATTATGAATTGTTCGGTAATTGGTTCTTCGTGGACAATTGCACATTTTAAACGGGAGCGCCTTTTGTAACTCTTCGTAAAAGTTACACCGAATAATTGTTAATCTGCAAGGTAGCTTTTCCCCTGGTTAGACACATGTTTACAGTTAATAAATATGTCTAGGGCTTCTCTCCACACATAACGTTAAATTCAAAAGTGCCACCTAGAGCATTCTTATAACTTGCCGCTGTTAGTGTTACGATTATGGACCTACAATCATAATATCAGCCAAACCAATAGACAGGTAAATTATATTGACAATCGGGAGAGGATAAGATGTCAAACGGAACCCCAAAACGCTACGATGAATAACAAGCTCTACACAGGCGTTTGTGTTTGACGAAGGAAAAGCGCTCGTGACCGTCATCTGTATGGACCATCACTATCTGGTGCATTAATCGGAAGTATTCACAGTCAAGATCGCAGATAAATCTCCTCATCGTGTATTCCCCTGTTGCGGCCTATTAAAAATAGATAAGATATAGAGAATAATAATAACCACAACCAATATATCACCCTCACAAATAGATGTTAAGAGTATAGATAACAACATCCTTTCATTCATGGCACACATTATATGAGGTAACTCTATCGTTATAAATGAGCAGTTAGCCGCTGAACACAAAACTGTATAATGTTTATTAAATTAATTATTACTAAGGAAATGGAACTTAGAGCGAACACACTAAAAGTACCGTAATTCCGGTATGATACGGAACAAAGCGCAAATTGAAAAGCCCTATGGCAGATGACGTAGAATAAAGAGAAAAAAAACAAACATATACTTAAGGCAGAAGTAACCTTCGACCAAGTAAAGTTCAAAATCCACAAGTCCAAATTTATAGTTCCACACAAATCCCAAGATATTATAGCTCTGTTCTATAAAGTTGATACTCACTAGTAGCATAATAATGATTGACCCCTTAGTCACTAATTTTTACGACTATACAATATATCCTAGAGGCGTGTAAATATTCTTGTGCAAAACGTTCCCGCGAATGGTCAAAGAAGTCAATATTGATAATTCATGAGTATTATTTTCGTCGTTTGAACAATGGCTGTACCGATATCACACAAAAGATTAAGTCCATGACCCAAAGTGAATTAACATGACTAGTGGGTTCGGAACCTGTTTCGAGCACTTTTTTATTCTCTCTCATGCAAGGTTGTTGTATCATATAAAATGTACTCAATTAATTAGCTAAACTTAAAAGAAAGACAATAATATACATTATTAATACGCATTTAGTTCTTTTGATGTATTTTTGTCCCTCTCAAATAGTTCATCTCAATCAAGAATAAAATGAAGATCAGACGGGAACTATTAAGTAATCCTTCGGAATAGAAATAATAATAAAATCAATCAACAAATAGAGAAGCCCGACCTCTAATATTAGTGTACTTTTATGAGAGCAAAAACGAAAAAACAAAACCAAAGTTCACACAAAAAGTTTTTACTTTAAAGCCTGCACGGGTAGAAGCGCCGCCTAGCATGTCCGGGAAGCTGAAAGCGCGGTATCCGTTGACTCTGCCGGGAACGTCCGGCATGATTCCGGGAACCATCCGACAATTTGACCACGATGGAATCAAAAAAAAATATAAAGGAATATCCACCGGCGGTGGTCCGGGGTAAAGCCGGGAATGTTTATAGCTTGTTGCTTCAAATCGTAGCTTAGCCGGAACGACGGGTTACACCAGCCCTGGGAAGCACCGTAATGACTCAACGGACCGCAAGAACGGGGATTCGGTTTGGGTAGAGCCGTAGAGCTACGGTAGAAAGCCCAGTGAAACGCAGAACCGATGAAAGCACAAAGAGACAGAGCCCACAGTAAAAATAAGAATCAAGAACAAGAGCTCGGAGATAAAAGAATGACGATGGATTTTACGGTTCACTCCCTGGTATGCCCGGCAAAGCCCGCGTTTCATTTCAAAAGCATTGCGCAATTTGCGAATTTTAATTTTTAAAAAAAACCCTTTCCCCATTTCCCTTCGTCCAGTCTTGCATAGGAGTTATTTAGAAAATCAAGAACAGTCGATTAATACCTACACATTTAGGTATATGAGAAAGATCCCATCATTTACACTCTCAGATATTAAAACCAAGGATGACCAATTAGCTTTCACCATGGAGAACGGAATCAATATCTTTATATGCGATATTTTATAGAGTAACCGGGTCCTCGCTTAACGGGGACTCTGGCAGGAGATCTTTCTAGCATCATAGCCTGAGATCCGTAAGAAAACGCTCAATGAATGGTGTACAGACCGGGGCTTTACGTTGGCGGTCATAACCGAAATAATCGGACAGAGGGGGGGAAGCATCGCGATAAACCGTTAGCTCCACCCTAGTCGCCCCTGGATATAGAGATACCAAAACGGACCAGTCCTGGCTCCGTTAAGTTGGAGATATTAAAGTGCGCTGTGAGTTTGACCCGCAACACTAACATTTCACCCCGGCCGTCCGACCACCCCAAGATACACTATACATAGATATGTGATACACTGGGGCTATACCGGGAAAGTGAGACCGGCAAGAACTTAAAGCCCGATTAGTCTTAAGTCAATGGAAAAGGAATAGAAGCTCTCTATTGGGCCTTTAGTGGGCTCTCACGAAAACTAGTGCGCTACTTTTAGAGCACAAAGTGCAGGATAGCTCTTTAGTAGCATCGCCCAATCAAAGATAAAAAGAATACCCCACGGGGGCATAAAGGAACAAATACTCATAATCAAGATAACACCATAAGAAGACCACAAAGAAAATAGTTAACATCTTCAAGATTGTTCAAAGAATTCCATTTCATGCAGAAACTCTGGTTGTGGCAACCGAAAGAAAAATCTTTAAATATCTTCTTTTAAAGAACTGGTAAAAAAGCTAGAGCTTAGAGATTGGGCATCAATACATCTTCTAGTGAATGTCTACCAAGTTTGTTCAAATAAAAGCCCTGGGGTGCACAAAAAATTGGCCCCGCCCCAGGGGTTCATAGATTTTCCCTATATGCATATAGTAAAACTTAAAAAATCTTCTTTTAAAGAACCCAAAGAGCTAGAGCTAAGATATTTAGCATGAAACATCTTCTAATGAGTGTCTACCAAGTTTGTTCAAATAAAAGCCCTGGGGTCAAAATTGGCCCCGCCCCAGGGGGTCATTGATTTTCCCTATAAGCATATAGTAAAAACTTAAAAAATCTTCTTTTAAAGAACTCAAAGAGCTAGAGCTAAGATATTTAGCATGAAACATGTTCTAATGGGTGTCTACCAAGTATGTTCAAATAAAAGCCCTGGGGTCAAGACTGGCCCCGCCCCGGGGGTCATTGATTTTCCCTATAATGCATATAGTAAAAAACTTAAAAAATCTTCTTTTAAAGAACTGTAAAAAAGCTAGAGCTTAGATATTTGGCATAATACATCTTCTAATGAGTGTGTCTACCAAGTTTGTTCAAATAAAAGCCTGGGGTCGAAAATTGGCCCCGCCCCAGGGGGTCATTGATTTTCCCCTATATGCATATAGTAAAAACTTAAAAAAATCTTCTTTTAAAGAACTCAAAGAGCTACGAGCTAAGATATTTAGCATGAAACATGTTCTAATGGGTGTCTACCAAGTATGTTCAAATAAAAGCCCTGGGGTCAAAAACTGACCCCGCCCCGGGGGTCATTGATTTTCCTTATATGTGTATAGCAAAAACTTAAAAAATCTTCTTTGAAAAAAACCCAAATAAGCTTGAGTTTAGATATTATACATGAAACATCTTTAAAGTAAATATCTACAAAGTTTGTTCAAATAAAAGCCCGGGGGTCAAAACTGACCCTGCCCCAGGGGTGTCATTGTTTTTTAACTATATGTGTATAGTAATAAACTTAAAAAACCTTCTTTTAAAAAACCCAATGAGCTAGAACTTAGATGTTTAGCATGAAACATCTTCTTATAGGTGTCTACCAAGTCTGTTCAAAAAAATAAAAGCCCTTGGGTAAAAATTGGCCCGGGGGGGGGGCCTATAACAGGTGAGCGACCTCAGGGCCATCATCCCCTCTTGTTTATAATTATCATGCAGTCTGGACGTGCAATATTTCATTTACTTACAAAGCTATAAAATAGACTGTTTTTAAACATAACTTTACGAGAGAACTGTAAAAAAATAAAACTTTCCATGCATTCTTTGCTAAATCTTAAATAAATATATTTAAATTTTTAGCTTTAATTTACTAAAAACTGTGTTTTTGCATTTTTAAAGGGTTGTCACCCTGTTATTTGTACGTCAATGTCTACATGCAAATATCTAAGTTTCTTAGTCATTAATTATTTTGGAAAACACACTTTTTTTGAAAAAAAAAAACAAAACGATGCTTAAAGATGATATTTTATATCTGTAATTTTATATATGCAAGTCTGCAAGACTTGTATCATTGAATAATGACCTACATAATTGTATGTCAATTTGATTTGTTTAGCTTATGTACTGATATATATCTTTGCAATTTAGTATTTGACACATTTTACGCTTTTTCAGTCTTTCTTGTAGAGTTTTGTAGCAGGCGTCCTTTGTACAACTTTATATGCACGCGTTGAAATGATATTTTATGTCTTCTAATTTGGTGTTTTAGAAGTGTCATATCTCAGCTAAAACACGCCGGGAAACAGTATTCGATGGCTCTCACATGAAAAAGCGGGCATGGAAGCGACTACTAAGTTGGTAACAATAAGTGCCCACGTCATCTGGATCTTGAAACAAAGAAGACACAGAACGGTTATACACTGGTCTAAACTCGTTAAAGGATCATTGGAAGAGCATTTACAAGCCATTATGATGATAAAACTAAACACTATTGCAATGATCAATCATGAACAGTAAAATAAAACATAGGGGCACGAGAATTAACACGCCGACAACTACAAACCAAAAATGAAGTATACTCCAGTATGTACCAAATCAGGTTACGGAAGGTTATAAAAAACAAACACAGCGATTAGTCCTTAAAATCAACACGAATAAGAAAAAAGCTTAACAGAATCTACCAATTAAAATAGCTAAGTGATAGAAATTAGTTGATATCATTTAAAGATCACTATTCGATACCTGGTTTCGAAGAAATCGAGGGCGTGGATACATAGCTCTATGTACGAGAAAAACACATCCTACTGTACTCTTCGCAGACGACATATCACAAAAGCAGACAGGAAATCGAATCATCTCCGTACCAGTCCTCCCTAGCCATGACAAACGCAACAAACCACACGCTTGAACTTATCATACCAAATCTGAGCGCAACAGGAAGCTTTTCTACAGTGAAGAGACAGCGACACCAAATGGAAGCAGACGTTCCAGCCAGCAGCAACTCATTATGAGCAGCACGACAGAAAATTGAAAGGCAAACGTCATCTGATGCAGACGCGCAAACTGAACAGCAGACATCAGCGTCCGCCAAACAGACACTTCATCTGAATCAACAGCCACAACACACACACGGTATTACATCAAACACAACATATAGTAAATTTGAACCTATGATGACAATTATTGACAAAATAGCAGACGGACAACGAGTTCCGCCACAGACTACTATGAAATATGAAATGTTAAGGTTTTGCACCCTTCGATCTTTTCCAAAAGGGAACAAACCTTATATTACCAGATTGGCTGGTGCAGGATTTTATTACGCAAACGAAGGCGATGAAGTCGTCTGCTATTGTTGCGCGCGCGCCGTAGGAGAAATTGGACAGAATTCGAAAATCCTTTAGAAGTACATAGAGAATTAAATCCAAACTGCAGCTTCCTCATTCGTAATTCTGAAGTAAATGTCTCAGTAAGACAAAGTATTGAAAGTTCTTCAGCAGAATCTCACTCAAACCTGTCAACAATTAATAGAGACCAGTCTAACTCTAATTTTCGTAATGAATTAACGGAAGTGAATGTGTCGTCTGCAGTTGAGACTGGATCACAGATTCAAACGAATCAAAACTCTGAACATTCATCTTTTGCAAGCAATGCGATTCAAGAGGAGGGAACCAGTCTATTTCACTACTTCCTGTAGATGTACCGCAAACTACTATTGAGAACCAGTCTTCAAATAATTCTACAGGTAGTGATAATTAAGTCACATAAGTTTGTAAAGTAAAGCTTTTCATAAAACTATATCGGAGGCTTAATTTAATAGCAACAAACAAACAAACAAAACAACAAAAAAAAAAAAAATTAAAAAGAACAATTAAATTCACATGATTTGATTACATCTAATATCACAGACCGAAAAAATGCTTATTTTGTTATTTTAAAAATCATTTTAAAGAAACCATTGAAGGTCCTAGACTAAGATAGTTTTTTTTACCGGTGTAAGATGAATGATTTGCTCAATAGGGTAGATCTTTACATTTGGGATAAAAACCCATCAGAAACAACAACAAAACAACAAAACAACTAATATTTTATTTTTTTCTCACTAGCACTGTATAGTTTGTGTAGCAGGATGGTGTTCCACATTCTATTAACATTTAAACTACTTCCTTTACCAAATTGTCATACATATATAGAAAATCGTCTTTTTTTGTTACATTTACTCACATATGATATACATGTATGTATTTATTAAGTTTTTAAAAACTAAAATCAAAATGGATTATTCTCTTTTTACACCATTGCTATACCTGTATCTATTTTTTGTTTGTTTCTATCACTGTGTATTATTTTCTATAGGAGGCGTATCTTCGTCTATGCCCCCAAAATACCCCAATTATGTCAGCAAGACAGCACGTTTGTCGAGCTACAGTGATTGTGGGACATCGTCATCCCACCAGACCGCCTGGCACAGGCCGGCTTCTTCTACGCCGGTTTTGGAGATTGTGTCCGGTGTTACCAATGTGGAGTCGGTAAGTTAGAATTAATATCCCTTCAAATAAGTTTTCATTTTGTTTTGATTTTGTATAATATACATAACTGAATCGCATATATAAAATACATTTATTTTTAGGAAACCTCGACTAGGATTTTTCAATTTTGATGATTGACAGCTTGTGCTTGTGTACAGTTCTTGCTTAGTCTTTGTCCTAGTGGTAAATCATGGGTTCGAGCCCTAATCGAGTCACGACCATGTTTTTCTTCAGATGACACCAGTACTAGTTGGTTCCATGAAATGAACTCGGAAGTGATTAATATAAATTGCAGGAACTTATGTCACATTCGAGTTTTAAATATTTTTAAAGAATTCTTTGTCCTATCTTTTCTGTAATCTATATCTATATCCTATTAACTGTTTTCATCATGATATTTTAAAACATTGTTTCTATGACAAACGAATAGTCCATTTATATACTGACAACTAACACTTAATAATAAAACCGAAATAACAGTTAATAATAAAAACCAAGATAAGTATGCTTGAATGGGAAAAACACTATGAAAATTTTCAAATATAGGTCCTATTACACAAAAAAAATACGTCAAGACAAATGGTTATATTACTTTGAAAACAGCAACGCCATGATTGTGATGCCATATTTTAATTAACTGCATAGCAACAGTAAGCAGCTTTTTGTCAGAATATAAACATAAAGCAGCTTATACGAGCATAAAAGGGAAATAACTCGTTACTGATTCGTTAATTTAGAATATACTGGTTGTATCTCTTCCTTTGTGTTTATTGGTGTCCTTCGAAGTTTGTTTGTATTTCTTCAATCTTTTTATGATTTCAACCTGGGCGCTTTGTTGAGAATAAAAATTAGTGAGGTTATACAAATGGTTATATTACTTTGAAAACAAGCAACGCCATGATTGTGGTGCCATATTTTAATTAACTGCATATCAACAGTAAGCAGCTTTTTGTCAGAATATAAAAACATAAAGCAGCTTATACGAGCATAAAAGGGAAATAACTCGTTACTGATTCGTTAATTTAGAATATACTGGTTGTATCTCTTCCTTTGTGTTTATTGGTATCCTTCGAAGTTTGTTTGTATTTCTTCAATCTTTTTATGATTTCAACCTGGGCGCTTTGTTGAGAATAAAAATTAGTGAGGTATACAAATCGAAGTTGAACCAATAGATCTTAGCTTAATGGAACGCCTTTCAATATTCATGTCGTCACAAACGGGAAAAGTTTTTTTTCTCTCGTGACAAAAATGTATTCGAAAACTACAGGAAGTAGTATTACTATACTTTAACCTCGGAATAAATCGATCATTATTAATATCCATGATGTTAGCACGAAGCCTACATAGGTTAAAACAACAGTTACTGGATCCATCATTAGCCATATTAACAACCAAAAACCAACTCATCAAGAAATATATTGGAATATTTATAATACAGGATTACGGTCATTTGCGTTACCTCGCGACACGCACTCGCATCCATAGAGCAACCCGTAAAAAAATAGATAAAAGTAGCCATGGTCAATGAATGGCCAATTCATAGTTAAGACAGAATTCCCAAATAGGGAGAAGAGTTCGTGAATATTCAGCCAAGAAATAGGCTGAATGCACCCCGATAATTCAACAAAAGCGAAATATAATATAAGTACTAACCCTTAAAGCATTTAGATATAACACCTGTCATATAACCCGACCTCGTCGGTTACCCATGGTATATATTCCGTACATACGACATTATCTAGATTCCTTTGAATGTCGTATGTACGGAATATATACCGTGGGTAACCGACGATGATATAAACCAAAAAGACAGAATTATATGTTTGATGATTTGCTATTGAAATGAATACAATGTTTTTAAAACCGATCAGATATAAATTTGAATCGCAAAAAGGAAAGTCAATTGAATATAAAACGTAACTGTTTAAGAAAGTATTCGGATATAAATTCTTACATGGTCTCTAATTTCTTTAAGTTAACAAGGACTGTAGACTTTCGTTTGTGTAAGTGTATGTAATAATATTTTGACAGACGTTCAGATTGATTCATTAGTATGACGTAATTTATGACGTCAACAAACCAAATAACGTCATGGTAATATTTCTCGTTGGAATGTAATTCAGACGATTTAAGATTAGATACTGGCACCCAAAACAAGATTGACAATATTTAAATATTTTCATAAATATTTTTTCTGTATTTTTCAGCAAACCGGAAATGAATCGATTTCAACACAAGGAACTGAAGGCATAGGTAGTTATTTCTTTAAGTAATAAGGCTTTGAAAGCATATAAATGCAAAAATTGAAAAGAATTAGACATTAGAATTAAATGCTAATCGAAATATCGAAATATATGTGGTTGTTAGAACTAGAAATTTAATTAAATATGCTTTGAATTTAAAAACGCACATATCTGTGTTAGAATAGTGTTTAAACAATATTATATTAAATTTCCGTAATTCAAAAACGAAAACTTGTTTGAATATTTTTTTAGTTATAAATACATCTACCTTTATATATTAATTAAATGAGGCATAACTTCCTTACTTATGCTTTACTTTGCTTACGTAACAAAAATTTGCATATCAGCAGGCAGAGGTTCCGGAAATGCGTCTGCAGACATAGATAGACTGATGCACACAAACGCTGCACAAAGCGTCTTGGAGATGGGTTATCATCCTGACGTCATTAGAAGAGCTATCAGAATGGTCTTGTCCTCAACAGGTTTGAATTTTTTAGTCTAGATTGTTTTTTTTATTTTATTCCTTTTAGAATTTAATAAATGTAAATCAAACTGTGATTATAGCGTTTGCTTTGTAAACTTTCTCAAGCAATGTTCGTTTATAGTCACCAAAAATCTGAGATGCGTGATTTCCCAAATGAAACCAATATAATGTTTGCTAAAAATATGGGTCCATACTTGGTTGAAATACACTGTGAGCGTTCTTTTCAATCGATTTGGAACTTCTGAGAAAAGAACATATTATCCAGTGATGTAGCTGTCGTTGGTAGTCTTTTATAAACATCCGTACTGAATAAGTTTTGGACAATTCGTTAGTATGATGTTATAGAAATACTAAAATCAAAATTATTATATTAGCTAATTAATTATATATTTATTTCTAATTTCTGGATCGAAGTTATTTTGTTTCCTATTGAAACAAATCATTCATATTTTTTATTATAACATTATCCACTTCAAAATAAAAGGTTTCATTTTTATTCTTTTATATCTTTATTAGGACATGGAATTTTAACAGCTACAAACATAATGGAGAAAATCTTTGAAATCGAAGACTCTGAATCTCAAGAAAATACTGAACCTGAGAATGCGGAAATACGCGCACCTGCAAACACTGAAGCACGCGCATCTACAAACGTAGAAGCACGCGCACGTGCAAACACTGACGAACGCGCACCTACAAACGTAGAAGCACGCGCACCTCCAAACACTGAAGCACGCGCACCTGTAAACACTGAAGCTCGCACACCTGCAAACGCAGAATCACGCCAAAGCAACAATGAAACATTTACCACAACAACACAGGAAATACAAGGTTTAGAAAATAGACACGAAAGTGCAACTCCTCAAAACGCAGCTTTAGAAAATGTTAGTGGTGCTGTTGCCAGGGGTAACGAGAAACTGCTTGATAATGGTTCGTCTGAGAACCAACCGAAAACTGCGACACGTCATAATGATGACGACAAAAAGTGTTCTGGGAATGTAAATGGGGATGAAAGGCAAGGCAGACAACAGAACGTGTCAACTATGTCGTCAGGCGGAAGTAAACGGGCAAATTCAAAGCAGACGACACGTGAAAGTCCCGCAAGCCGTAAGAAATTTTGATTTTAAGATATAAATCATCCATCTTAATATGATCTTAATTAACTTAATTCATCTTGTGTTTGCATTTTTACACTACAATAACCAGAAATAAGGTTTATTGTTTTTGTTTTGTTTTTTTTCTTTTTTGAAAAAAAAATCAAGAAAAAAAAAACACAAATCATTGTCTTACTGCTAATTTATCTATTTACAAACAATTATCTAGCAATGTTACCTACCTAGCAATGTTGTTTAGAATATAATATATATTTATTTTTAAAAGTGTTGAGACATGTGGTCTTTTGATTTTGTTTTAGTTATAATCATTCATTTTTTTCAAGTTCGACGTGGCCGTAAAATGTTTCTCATATTTGCATATATTTTTTATATTTTTACAGCAACATTGGCTATAACTTTTCTTTTGCCTTTTCTGTTAAAATTAACAATTTCATACAATTTAATACATTTACGTCAACTTGTGCAGCTTTGTTTCTATTAAATTCTGTGTATATGATGTTCGATGCTCGAGAAAATATTTCATTATGCATAGCAACGGGCCGGGCCGTAATAAAGGTCTTAACGTTTGAGTGTATTTTATAGCTAATTACTTTTAAACGTATTTAACGAAAACACTATAATGATATAATTTATATAAATTTTTAAAGATATAAATATGAAAGACAATAAATTATTGACGTTTTTATTCTCGAATATAAAAATATCAATCACATTTTATTTTCCCTACAGGTTATGCACATATTAGGGAGCAGAAAAGGCTAAAGGAGGAAAATGATATGTTAAAACAACAATCTTTATGTACAAAATGTCATGTTAATGACGTTTGCATCGTTTTCTTACCATGTGTACACCTTGTCACCTGTGAAACCTGTGCACCTACTGTACGATATTGCACGGTGGTCACGTGTGGTAAGTATATTAAAGGTACCGTGCGCACGTACCTAGCTTAAAGAACTTTCTGATAGAAAATGCATATATACATGCACTTATAATTATCTTATCGAGGAAGAAAGCCAATGTAACATAAAATAACAACGGTTTGGTAAAGAAAAAAGTTATTATGCTTGTTCAGGAAAACCTTACCGTTCTTTTCCAGCCTTGACTTAAAAATGATGGAAATGTTTGGTGAATAAGGTGTGGGTAGCATTGATATATAATCTAAGTTGCAAATTATTTGTTATAATACAAAGCACCATATGACTGTAAAAATAATGTGTATTTGTTAATACTTTTACGTTACATTTTCTTTTCTTCTTTTTATTCTTTTATTCTGTACATATTTGGCACAGTGACATTGGCGATAAAGGCAAGACATGCCCGTTTGTAAATAGTTTATTTTCTTCCGTATAGATTAAAGAAAGTTATAATTGTCAACGTACATATATATGTTACTGACATTGAATATTTGTTAAGCATATATTGATCAAAGATATTAACTTTTTTAACGTCAAATAGCAGTATCAACAAATCTTGTAGTACGTAGTGTTTTTACTTATAATGATATAAACCTGGTATGTAATTTTTTGCTTTTATAGCAAATAATACATTTTATTACATGCTTTTCGATGGTTTATAGAAATATATCAGTGATTTAAAACTGGTAATTTCACTGTTTGAAACAGTGAAATTACTACTTTGATAATTTCACTGTTTTGAGTTTAAGCCCATTACGTTGTTTCAGTGAAATGCCAGCGTGCACAGTACTGAGTACCAACTTTATGACGTGACGTCGTAAATGACGTCACGTTGTATTATTATTTGGCGCGCTTTTAATTCAATATTAGGTTTTATGTCTTTTTAAAACGTTTCTTTGCATATATAATAAAAAGAAAATTTGTTTAGTTTAGTGTAAGATCAAAATATATTTCACCTTGTGAACACCAAAAGTTCATATTTCACTCGTGGCTGCGCCACTCGTGAAATATACCTTTTGGTGCTCACTCGGTGAAATATATTCCGATCTTACACTGAACTAAACAAATATCCTCTATATATGTGCCACTACCTCAAATATTTCAGAAATATGCATAGCTTTTTTCCAGTTTATCTTATATTTAATCAACACTAAAAAACATTAACTAAAAATTTAAAATGTCTTTCAAACATTATAGCTGATATTATCAATGATCATCATTTTAAATGTTGTTTTTTTATTGCATTTTATAACGTTCGTAAATCAGTGTACATATTGTAAGTGTTTATAGTTCAGTTGTATATGTTCCTGACAGTAATTCTGTACGTTTTTGTTTTCATCAGACACCCGACAAATATAAAAATGTTTATATACTTTTTGGGAATTTTTGAATAAATCGCTGTTTTTTCTTACAATGTTAATATTCCAGATTTTTTTGCAAATGTTTATTTGTATCACTTTTAGTACATTTTAACACATTTTATTGAAAATAAATTTATTGACTTCACCATGACACAGTTTGTTTTGTTGTTATTTATTTTATTGTAATTAATCTTGTTGTTATTTATTTTATTGTAATTAATCTATATGCAAATTGATAATTTGTTCCGGGATATTTTTCTTTTGAGGGCTTTTATTGCGTTCCCATATCTACTGGTTTAATACCTTAAATCCGGGTTGTGTTGTTTGTTTTAGTTCAAAGTTTTTGGTGTACATTTCTGGTATTGTGTTCATAAATCCGCTTGATAATATCATAAGTTGTGTTATAAAAGACTTTTATTGTTTTACATGTATTTGTATATACATTTATATAATTAATTATTATTTGCTATTTTTCAACTGTAAACGCAAGATTTTTTTAGATAATAATGATCTCTTACCAAATCAAAATATGATATACAATATATTTGTTTTCTTTGGTTGTGACGCTGTTTGAAAAAAAAAAGTTTGATATTATTATAATTGTAATATTGTTAAATTATGTTTAAACTGTTTGAACTTATCATAAAGGTTCATGTGAAGTTTTATTTCACAGGGTAAAAAAACCACTAAACATTGTGATAATGAAGGAACATGACATGTTATGATATTTAATTTTGTTATTTTACAGTTGAGATTTGTCCATGTTTTATCATTGACCCGTATAGCCTACTGTCATGTGACCACTGTAGACCAAAATCATTTTAACTGTAGAACAGTGTGAGCATAACTAATTTACTTTTTGCGTATTTTTCTTTTTATTTATCTATTTTTTTAATTAAAATAAAAAGGTCTTCCAATATAGGTTGGATTTTAGACTTGCAGTTTATATTTAGAAACATGAAACAATCGTGATTGTAAGTGGCAAAAAGAGAAGAACAATAATACATTAATTGGATTGAATAATTTTCATTTTATTTTCACGAATTATTTGACGAAATACATGTACCAGCCGAAGTTCCGATTGCGACCAAAAGTAAGCTTTAAGCTCAACATCCCTTCTCTTTTTCGAATAACGAACAATGAAGTCGTATGCAGTGAATATCTCACATTGAAAATAAGAGTTTCTGAACTTGTGTCCAAATGTTGGATGACGGATTCATGGAAATCCAGCCTTATGATTTGACGTCCGCGACTCGCAATCGGTGAACTGTTAAACAAAACTGAATTATTTTCATTTGATATATGTATGTTGTACACTTACACGTATTTGATGCGTAATATACTTTGTAAACGCACACTTTTTATAAGACTTACAATATCAATATACCCATACACATTTGTTTTAACTTATAAAAATGCCGTCAAAATCACACCAGCATATTTAAAATTGATTCATTAAAAATGAAATAATCACATGAAATTACGGTGCTCCAAATATAGAAAGTAATACACTTTATCACACACCCGTGCCGATTTTGCGACTCCGTAAATATGGTATTGCACGGCCGTGCATATATTTTGACGTGACGTCATTAGCGTTATACAAACATAGTGTAAAGACGCGCTAAATGTAAGCGTTAAACTATAGGCGCGTCAATGAAAAATGACTCTTATTTCACTTTAAACGGTCTTTATTTTTGTTATGTGATAAATAGAATATTAAATTCGTGTAAGTTCATTACTGAATTTATTGCACTCGTTGAATAAGATAATATTATGCTCGCCAGAGGCTCGCATAATATAATTTTATTCAACTCGTGCAATAAATTTAGTATTGAACTTACACTCATTAAATATCTTCTATTTACTACTTAGGGATAGATTACAACTGTTAACATAACGAAACTTCATGGTTCCTGAAAAGATGCTTTTATTTTTTTATATTCTTTATGTTTTCGTTGAAATGAAAAATATTTAAAAAAAAGGAATATATTGTTAATCACTGGAAAGTAACATCCTATATAAAAGATAATTCAAACCAACTTTTATGTATAAAAATACCCTATCGTCACCTCAGTGCAATTACTGATTAACTGCTATCGTATTTAGAAGCACTTATTACTGCACTAGGGGGACGTAATATAATTTGATGTATTTCCCAATCTTGGTAAGAATACATGTCCTACATATAAAACTACCAAAATACAGACGTAAGAAGACAGTTCGCTAGGATAAACAACAAATTGTCCGAGGCGAAGCCGAGGATAAATTGTTGTTTGTCTTGGCGAACTGTTTTCTTCACTTCTGTAAGAAGACACTATTGAAGAAAATACGAGTAATTGTATCTGACTTATACGACGTTTAAGTGTAAAGAACAGATAAATTAATAAACACATTTAACTACAAATATATAAAATTGAAATGAAATGTATGTTCACGTTGAAAATATAAAACTTAATCGAAAATATGTGCATGGCCTTAAAGCTGGGAGCAGTGAAAGGTGAAGGTAAATTGTATTCGCACGGAATTTTCGTGCACTTATTTCAATCGGACAGAATTCACTTTCATTCATGATAAACAATGTTAAAATGGCTGCCTTCATCAGAGCGATCATTTATGTCATTCAACATTGAAACCGTCTCTGAACATGTTTTCGTATCGTTTTTGACTCCAAATTTGTTAAGTTTCTTTATTCACATGTTTAGCTTGCCATGGCAAGGTTCAGCTGTATATGGCCGATGATTGTTTTGTGGATGAGGGGCCTGGAACCAGTAAAGGTCTTGTTGATGTTGTTTTTTTTATAGAATGTCAAGCGATATACAAAAAAGAAAGCGTTTAATAAGCATCCAACGAACAACTATTAGTTTCGTCAATGCTAAAATCAACAGTAACTATGTTCCTTGAAATCGCCAATTTATTTGATTCATTTCTCGGGGAACTGAATTTACTCGTGAGTTACGCTACCAAGTTTGCGTTTCTATGGTGTCCTGTTTGAGGCAGTTAAAATATCGCCTGTTACGATTTAAGCTTGACTTGATCTCTTGCTTACACCCGACCATTCCAAAAATAGTGAGAGCTATTGTAATTGTGAATTTTGACATAACTATGGCCCCTTTGAACCTAGAAAATATTTACATTATTCAGGCTCTTGTTTTATTATAAAGCACTGAGAATAGTCGAGCGCACTGGCTTTTGTATATGGATAACTAGCGAGATTTAACATTTGAAAAAAAAGGTTAATCGTAAAGATTTTTACATTTTGATTCACACGAGAGGATTCAAGTATGAGAAAGTATAAGCATGAGGCAAATTCAACGTTGAATGGCAAAGTTTCTTGCGAGAATGTAAAATCTTGCTACTATATCTATAAAATACAGAAAGGCGGGACAAGACTTTAGAAAAAAATAGCATGTCAATAGGAGTCCCTCAACTGACCAACGCAGGACACCGTATATTTCAACTGTATTAAATCTACGTGGAAAGAAACGGTTATTTAAAAGTGTCTTCTTACAGACGTAAGAAGACACTTCTTACAGACGTAAGAAGACACTTTTTGAATAGCTCTGCTGGGGGTATAGTCTTATAAGGCATGTTAAACGTTGCAATATGTTTGTTCTATATCCAATATTTATTCTATACCATAATATTTATTCAATCCTGCTGAATATTTGTTCATCTTAAAAAATATTCGTTAGCGATAATTTTCTATATGTATGTCGTATCTTTGAAAACATATATTGTATAATTAAAAATGTTTATTTTATAGATCTATTGAAAAATATTTATTCGATAATTTGAAACTTATTCTAACACGACCCGCATTTTTCCCTATTGAACATAGAAGAACAGAAAGTGTGTGTTATTATGCAACAGATGCACAGTTTGACGTTCTATATTTAGACATGTGACGTAATCATTATACACGTGACGTAACCACTAAAAATAAGTTTGGAAACAAATCAGACGGAATTTTGCTTAACTATCATGTACCGCAACATTTATTTGTTAATGTCGTGTTAGAATCGAAATAATATATCCAAAGCAGTGATTTTATCGCTTGATAACATCACTGTTTGTCGTTCGGATGCGCATCATTATAGCACTCGGGCTACGCCCTCGTGATATAATTCCTCGCATCCGAACTCCAAACAGTGATTTTATTGAGCGATAAAATCACTGTTTGGGATATATTATTTCTTAAGCATACTATATAGCTAAGCCCGCCTATAAATTAAGCACGAAATTCTGATAAGGCGTTATCATCCTCATTAAACTTGACTAAAGTGAAGTGGAAATGATCAGCGTCCCTCTGAATGTCACTTGTAAATAGTGCATATGCTTAACCCTCCTTATAAATGTATATGTATGTCTAAATAATTGAAATAGATTTTAAAGTCTTCAGGACATACAATCGTATAATAATAATATAATGGTTGTTTGAAAGACGTTAACGACGTCGCAAGCGCATTGTCTTTAACGGAGCAGCTCTCATTTACGAAGTAGGCCAATACGTGTTTCACATGTTGTTAATTGCGGCTGATCCACTGCCTATATAAATGAGAGCTGCTCCGTTAAAGACAATGCGCTTGCGACGTCGTGCACGTCAAATTTCAAAGTTATACCGTCCACATTGCATTAACGGCATAACATTTTCATTTGTTAATGTTTCTTGTTGGATATATTTCGATTTATGTTCCGTGTTTTTTTTGTGTAAATGCATCTTACATGATACATCGCACATGTAATACACTATTATATGTCTTAAATTAATATTATTTTGCTGCAAGAAAATATATCATACATACGAGAAATAAAAGAATAATACAACTAAGAACAAAATTGTCATTATTAAAAATAAATATAAGCTATAACCAATTTTGAACCTGTTAAATTGTTAAAAAAATCACAATGAGACCATTAGGTAAAATAGTAAAATGATTTATACAATTGTAAACCAAGAACACAATAATCACACACGGCCATATAACCCGTAAAAATATTCACAACAAATTTATAATACAGCAAGCATCTTTTTTTATAGAAAGAAAATTGATTTCTTCGTAAATTGACAGCATCCGTGTATATTATTAGTTATAAATATTTTTGACACGTTATGTGGCCCTATACAAACGGTTGTATGT